GCGTATTGAAGCAACATTGAGAATATAAATCTTATTGCCCTGGACTAGTCTAGCACAAAGATCTCATCTCAATTCACAAACATCTCACCTTCATCTTCAACACGGAAGCACTATGTCCTTTTCGTCCGCCCCTAAGACTATCGCTGGGAAGCCTGTCGGTCCCATCGGCTATGGTTTGATGAGTGAGTTGCCATTCAAACGAAGGCAATGCGCCGTCACAGTTGCTAAACAACATCTCCACAGCCCTCACGCTTTTTGGTGGCATTAGTCATGACGAGGCCATCAAGCCAATGAAGGCCGCTCTGGAAAACGGTGCCACTTTTTGGAACGCTGTACGACCCGCGCCAAAAACGTTGATATCAAATGTCGGCTGACATCTTCGTAGGGAACCTTCTACGGGCCTTCAGATGCGAATTCTCTCCAGCTTCTGAAGCACTACTTTACCAAGTACCCGGAAGATGCATCGCGCGTCGTGCTCAGCATCAAGGGCGCTTACGATGGAGCCACTCAGTCACCGACCGCTAGTCCGGAGGAGATTCGAGCCTCCGTCGACGAGTGTCTGACCTTGCTCGGCGGTACCAAGACGATCGATCTCTTTGAGCCCGCGCGCGTTGACCCTAACGTGCCCATCGAGAAGACTGTCAAGGCGCTTGTTGAGCTGATCGAAGAGCGCAAGATTCGCTCCTATGGTCTCAGCGAAGTGAACGCTCTTACCGTCCGCCGTTGCCACGCCGTACATCCTCCCGCCGCTGTTGAGATTGAACTGAGTCTGTTTTCTCAAGGTGCTCTAGAGGAGGCAGGCGTTGTCGACACTTGCCGCGAGCTTGGCATCCCCATCGTCGGCTACAGTCCCCTCGACCGCGGCTGGCTCACCGGACAGTTCAAGACTCTCGATGATCTCCCTCAGGACGACTTCCGCCGTTTCTACCCACGCTTCCAGCCCGGCAACTTCGAGAAGAACGTCGAGCTAGCTGGTGCTGTTGAGAAAGTTGCCAAAAAGAAGGGGGCGACCAGCGCTCAAGTCGCCATTGCTTGGGTACAGCAGCAGGGTGTTTTGCCTATTCCTGGTTCTACCAAAGTGGAGCGTGTCCAGGAGAACACCAAGTACGTAGAGCTTACCGAAGCCGAGACTGAAGAGCTTCACGAAGCTCTTAGCAAGGCACATGTCTCAGGTCATCGATACCCTGAGATGTTCCAAGCTCATCTCGACAAATAACAGAGTACCAAAACATCATTGTTGCAATTGCCGTGCAAAAGGGGTTTGATGGATCATTGGACACATCTCAACTCGTTGACAGCAATACCCGCTATGCAATCATCTTCATCGTCAGCATTGAGATGGCTGTTCAGGGATCATGCGAGACTACGAAAGCGCGCGATTTTCATCGACACAGTATACTTGTTGATCTAGCTAAAGAGCAGTAACCAATCAGCCTACGTTTACTAGCATTATAACATGTACAAATATTGCCTTCTCCGTCACAGTCCCACAAGTATAATTTCAGCAATGCGTATGCGTGATCGTGGGAGCGGCCTTGTTATTAAGATGTGGTAGTTTGTATGTACCAAGGTGCCCCACAAAGTCTAGCTACTCCTAGTGCTGCCAGCTTCCTCCACTTCATCTACCATCTGCTTCGTCTGCTTTGACCAATTCTCAATCTCTTCCTTCGCAGTATGAAGCCATCTCCTGGCAACATCTTCGCTGCTCATCCGGTTCGATTGTTTTCCACGAAGGGCCTGTTCGATAGCATATGATGCGTATTCGATAGATCGCTGATGCGCACCGAGAAACTCGATGAGCTGGACTTGATGTGTGGCTTTAGATATCTCTGAATCGAGGTCTTGGGAGGAAACTGTCGGACTGACTGCGGCTGCGGAGTCTGTTCGGCACAACGTGGCTTCTGTGGTGTTCGCTTGTGGCAATTGGCAGTGCGTTTCTGGGGTCTTGTTCTCGGTCATTTTAGCGATTGTATCGAAGAAGTGGGAGACCAGGGCGAGCTGAAGATCAGGAGTGTTATCGCGCGTCCTTTTGCTCGCAACGTCACTCTGATTTTGTTTACTTATCCTCAACACCTCAATTCCCGTGTCTTCAATTAGCGAGCTATGATGCACCCCTCTTCAAGACGCAAACACTGTACGTCAACGGTGTCCTCACACTCCGCCGCGCCAACACGGCCGTTCGCTTTTGCGTCATATTTTGACAGCACATCGTCAGCTGTGAACGGGTAATATCCATAGTCCGTCGCGTTGTTGCTTCTACGCAGTCACAGTTGACTTCAACCAGTGCACCTACCAAACAATACGCTTGGCCAACGGCTGAGCAAGGTACAGCCTAGCTTTTCCAACTATTAACGCATGCAGCACTACGTTGCACGTGAAGCTCTGTGGACAGTCTCATGATGCGAGACTTTTCGCTGTTTTGGTGTAGCCATCTTCCAAGCTGTCAGCCTTCTTGCAGCGACGGGAAGTGAGCGCAAAGCTAGCCGTTTTCAGCAACGCAACCCCACTTGTTCCACTCGTACGATCCATCCACAATGCGTCATACCATGCGTCTCATCACTCAACCATCCAACGCGAAGCCATCGTGCTTGGTACAGAACCTCCCAACGTGATCTAGACAGGAAGTTACGACTGCCTGATAGCCAATGTACGCGTCATGACCTAGGTACCTGACCTTGGCGGTGCTGCCCTCCGCTTGTACATATACTCAAGGCAGGTAGCATGCGCCAGAATTTACCTCCTGAGATCCGCTCTCGCATCAGCCCAAGCTTCCGACCACACAAAGATAGTTTTGGATTCGTGAAACCCCAACATGGCCCCGCTATCCGATTACCTCAGCTTCTACACCTCCATGGCAAAGGCCATGTTTACAATCATCTTCGCACGCCTTTACACACCTCAGCGCCTCCCCCACCGCGATCTGCAAGGCCAAACCGCGATAGTGACAGGCGCGAACAGCGGCATAGGTCTCTCGATCGCGACTGCGCTAGCGAAACAAGGTGCAGTCGTGTATCTCGCCTGCCGCAATCTCGAAAAAGGCGATGCAGCTGTGGCTTCCATCGTTTCGCAACTCGGGCCCGAGGCTAGCAAAAGGGTGTTTTGCTGGAAACTCGATGTTGGGGATCTAGAGAGTGTACGTGCGTTCTGTGAGAGGTGGAAAGAGGAGGGCAAGAAGATTGATATGCTTTGCCATAATGCTGGGATAGCGGGGCCGCCTGAAGGCTCGAGGTCTAAGGATGAGAAAGGCCGCGACGTGGTTCTTGTTACGAACTTTCTGGGTAGCTTCTTGATGACGAACTTGCTCGAAGGATATCTAAGCGAAAAGGCAAGAGTCGTTTTTACGAGTAGTACTGGGCACTATGCTGCGGCAGAAGCTCTGATGCGTCCAAATCTGGAAGGCGTGACAGCAAAGACCACTGGTCATGAGGGCGGCGTTATGCAAAGGCTAATGGGAGAGACAAAGGCGTACCTTGGTATAGGAGCGACTACCCTTCAATCATACGCGCTCTCGAAAGCACACCAAGTCCTCTTCGCTGCTCTCCTCCAGTGCCGCTTCGACTCCACGCCAAATAACAGACGTTCGGCATATGCATTCAGTCCTGGGTTTACGTCTACTCCTATCTTCGGCAAATTCGCCGTCTCTTGGAAGACATGGTTGAGCAATCCTCTTTTCGCGGTACTTAAGACGACGGAAAGGTATGTCGCGGTGGATACGGACGAGGGCGCAAAGACTGGGGCTTGGTTGGCCAGTTGTGGTGGGGAGGAAGGGATAAAAGGGGGGTACTGGGAGTGGATGAGTAACAGGATGAGCCTTGTTGAGTTTGTGGAAAGGCAGCTTGGGGAGAAGGAGTGGCATGTGCAGTGTGAGAGAGTTTGGCGAGGATGGGAGGAGGATAGTGGCCGTACTTGGGTCACTGTCAAGACTTGATGTAGTGCTGATAGAGTCGGTCGGAGCAGAATCAGAAGTCAAAAGTGATTTGTCCTTTTGATCTTCTGTCTTTCTAGTTCCCTGTCCTACCTGGACTCAGATAGTGACCTATTCCTGAAACGTGTTAGAGTAATTTAGGTGTTGCATCGAAAGAAAGCGAGGTCGCTATAGAACGTAGCAGTGGCATAAGACACAGCCTATAATCTCACAAGTAATACGCTTACCTCTACACAAGTTTGAATATCATGACCATGATGTAAGCAGTTTATATTGGGACTAGGGACGAAGGGGGTAGCAAAAAGGGGTTGCTTGACCCGGCCTAGGGATGTAGGTGATCAACTACATGGGCAAAGGTCTAGCAAAAATAAAAGAAACATGCACAACATGTAGCTGCTCTCGGTTTCGATCCGAGGTCCTCCGGGTTATGAGCCCGGCGCGCTTCCGCTGCGCCAAGCAGCTTTTGGCAGTTGCTGCTTGATGTAAATCTTGAGAACTAATACACATATCACTGCTACTGCTACTATTCCAACCCGTTCTGACCTCGTGTTAGCAGAATATACCAACGTCGAATAGAAAAAGAGTAGTTGAAAGTCGGGCTGATCCATTCACCAAGGTGACAAAAGTGGGGCGGGGTATGACTCCGATTTGACTCCTCGCGAACACTGGAGAGTACAAAATTTACTTCCTAACTGCTCAGGTGTCTTGTACGCGTAGAAAGCGCTAAGGATGTGGAGCGTAGTGCATTGTGCGAGGGGCAGATTGAAGCTCTTGTGAAGATGCAGGGTGTTCGAAAAGACGAACACAGAAAAAATAACGAACCGCAAATTCAGGTCGTAACAAACATCAAAATCTGAAAGTAAGATAGCGTGGTGTGGTTGATCATTATATTGCTGCGGGACAAAATTGCTGTCAAGCATCGTGGGCAAGTCAATCGATTGCATGGGACGAAAGCGAAAGCGGTTAGCGGCAAAACGCGCTCCAACGCGACATCTGGACGCGTCCCACGCACTTTAGATGTCCGCTCCGTCACCCGCGTCTCCTCCAACTCCAACCATGACGCCTGCCAGAACCAATGAGTAGCTATTCACCAGGCATTCCATCCTCTTTTGACCCCGCGCTACTACATTCCGAATTCGAATTCCTCGACAACGCGCCCGCCCCATCCTCCCATTCCGACGAACTAGACGCATTGCACGACTGCATCGCCGAAGACACCGCAAAGAAGAATAGTGCCGGTGTCGTCATACAGCATCGCGCCTGGAACGTAGCGGATATATTCAGGAGTGAGGGAGAAGGACCAACTGGTACTACCAGCGTGCACGCGCGCTGTAACCGGTACTAATCCCGCCAGACACGCCTGCAAAGCGCCAGAAGCAGTCACCAGTCAAGCGCCTCCCTACACAACCTTCAATTGACATCACAACATTCCCTTCGTCGCCTCCGACTTTCGAAATGCCGCTCATTTCGTCACCCATCGCATACCCGCCGAGCTCATCGATGCCACAGCCGCCCTCGCCGAAGAAGAGGAAGCGCCCAGAAGACGCACGAGAGCCACTCAAAGATGTGCCAAACAACAATGCAACACGCAAGATTGGAGGCTTTTTGGACGACTCCGACGACGAAGAAGACATTGCGGCCCTGAAGGAACACACGTTGAAGCGGAGGGCTGTCAGCAGCATCAAAGACCTCCCAGCTGTTCCTGAAGGCTTAGCAGACTACACACCCCCTGCAAGCCAGGACGAGTATGCAGACCCCGAATCGATACCGGTAGACGATCTAGACAACTACAGCTTCAAGTCACAATCACAATCGCCGGTAAAGCGGCCGCACACATCACATCAGCCAACTTCAGCACAATCTGCACCGGGCATTCTGGCCCGTAACGCGTTGGGGAAGGCCTTTCATATAGGCAAGAAGGCCCAACGCGAGACCCAGACATACGAAGAGATCATTGCAGCACGATCCGAACCCGTGGAAGGAAAGGCCCGGACGAGTTACTATGGTCTCAATATTCATCAGCTCATGGACGAGGCGAAGGCGCTTGATCAGGAGAAGGCCATGAATGCGTCTCTGAAGAAGCTTGACCTAGCAGCACAACCGTCGATCGAGCAGCCAGTGGCCAAAAATGGAAAGACCAATCGTACACTCATGTGGACTGAGAAGTACCGAGCGAAGAAGTTCACAGACTTAGTGGGAGACGAACGTACACATCGATCTGTGTTGCGGTGGCTGAAGGCGTGGGACCCAATCGTATTCCCCGGTTCGGGCAAAGCGAAGCCCAAGAAAGCAAAGGACGGGTTCCAGGAAGACGAACAGAGACACCGCAAGATTTTGCTGCTGACTGGGCCTCCGGGGCTCGGAAAGACAACCTTGGCTCATGTCTGCGCACGACAGGCAGGTTATGAAGTACAGGAAATCAACGCTTCGGACGAGCGCAGCGGAGCCGTCGTCAAAGGCCGCATTCGAGATATGGTGGGAACTGAGAATGTCCGCGGTGTCAATACCAGCACCGTGAACGGCAAGGTGCGAAAAGCTGGAAAGCCAGTATGCGTTGTGGTCGATGAAGTAGATGGTGTCGTTGGCAGCGGAGGCTCAGGCGAAGGTGGCTTCGTCAAGGCACTTATCGACTTGATAAATCTGGACGAGCGAAACACAAAGGCAATCGGTCAGCAGCAGTCAACAGCGGGCACCAAGAAGAAGAAGGGTGACAACTTCAGACTCTTGCGACCACTCATCCTTATCTGCAACGACCTCTACCACCCTTCGCTGCGGCCACTGCGACAGTCCTCAATGGCTGAGATTGTGCATATCCGTAAGCCTGCCCTCAACATGGTCGTCTCGCGCATGCAGGAGATCTTCGGCAAGGAAGGCATCCAATGCGATTCGGATGGCGTGCGCCGTCTCTGCGAAGCTACGTGGGGTGTCAGCACAAAGAAAGAGGGCGGGACGGGCAGTGGCACTGGCGAAGGAGACATACGTGGCGTTATGGTGGTGGCCGAATGGATAGCAGCTCGGTTACGATCATCACACGATGTGAAGTCCAAGGAGAGGCCCCATCTATCGCGGAAGTGGATAGAAGACAATCTCATTGGCGACTTGCGACATGGTGGTGGAGCCGCTCGAAGCCTGGGGAGAGGCGGTGCAAAAGACGTTGTCGACCGTGTATTCCGTGAGGGTGCTGGCTTCCCGAAGCAAGCTGAAACGACCGATGCAAAATCGGCAGCCGCGAGGGCCAAGAGCGGTGTGATCGGAGTTGCTGAAGCAGGCAAACGGAGAGCTATGGATCGTCTTAGGGAGATGGTCGATACGAGCGGGGATTGCGATCGCATCGTGACAGGTATGTCTCACCTCATATCACGGCCTCATCAAATGCTAACACTGAACAGACTGCTTCACTGCCTATCCCGAGAAGCCGTTTCAAGACGATACTCTTCTCAGCAAACCATCTGCTGCATACGAATGGTTGTACTTCCATGACACAATCAACTCGGCCGTTCACGGATCTCAGGAATGGGAACTAGCACCATATCTGTCGAACTCTGTCCTTGCCTTCCACAACCTCTTCGCTTCGCCTATCCGATCATCTGCAAACCCCGTAGCAGACCCAGATGCACAGCCAGCACCTTTCTCAGGACCGGGTGCAAGCTTTGCAGCTTTGGAGCAGACCAAGGCTAGCAGAAGTCAATTGATGGCGCTGCAGACAAGTCTTAGCCTACCGTTGACGCGTATGTTTCGAAGTCCAGAGGAGATGGCCATGGAACTAATACCATACGTCTTGCGTATGTTGTCACCCGACGTAAAACCTGTCCTCGTAAACACCGGTGCATCAGGGTCAAAGTCTTTCGCCACGGCATCCGTCCGCAAAGCTTCAGAGAAAGAACTGGTCAAGAAAGCTGTAGAAGCAATGACAGCCACTGGCATTCGGTTCGAAAAGTCACGAATCGAGACCGAAGACGTGGCGAACAGAAATGCTGGCTTCGTCTGGCGTATGGAGCCCGCGTTGGACGTCCTAGCAACTTTCGAAACACTTGCCGGCAGGAAAGACGACAAAGGGCGCTACGCAGTTCGCAGCGTCCTGGAACAAGAATGGCGCAAAGAATCCGCTCTTCGTGAACATGCCAATCGCAAGCGCCGCGGTGGTATGGATGAATACGAGGACGAGGTTGAGGCTAGCAAGAAAGAAGAGAAGACGACGGAAGAGAAGGTCGCTGAAGCCAGCAAGAAGGCCGTGAAACGGGACTTCTTTGGCAGGGTGATTGTAGAAACGGATAAGAGCAGGAAGGAAGCGAAGAGGAAGCAAGACAGTGGGGAGATGCAGGGTGATGTGGGGAGGATATGGGTATCCTTCCACGAAGGATTCTCGAACGCGGTACGGAAACCTGTCACTATTGACGACATTATGAGGGGACTTTAGCTTTACATAACACGGTAGGCTGAGGAAATCAGCACCGGTGGATGACGATAATATATTTGTATTCGACAAACTCAAGCAACCCATCTAGCATTTACAGCTCGCCCATGCGATCGCCATGGCAAGCCCGGAGACTACGACTTTCCCCACACGCCTCAATCTAATGCACAGCCGTGACTTGGTTGCCGGCGAGCTTCTTCTTCGCAGCATCAATCCTCTCCAGTTCTATGATCCGCTGCTTATCGTCCAAGTTGTCAGGAAGCGTGCCAAGCGCACGATCGCCGAACAGCAGGTCGATTTCCTCCAGTGTGAGCTGCTTCGTTTCCTACAAGATTGGTCAGCATGGATTCCTCCGACGAGTCCTTCCGGGGAAGTACGTACCTTGAACACGAACCAGATAGTCGGGAACGTGACGCAGAGATTGAAAGCCACAAAGATGAAGTAAAACTTGTAAGTAATCTCACCCAGCCCGATGGGCGACACCTGACTCCACACAGTTCCCACAAGCCAGTTACCAAATCCAGTTGCGAAAGCAGAACCGCGTCCACGGATACTCAGCGGAAGAATCTCACTGGCGTATACCCAAGAAATTGGGCCGAAAGACATTGAGAAGATGCAAGATACCAGGAACAAGAAGAAGACGCCAGCGGCAGATAGCGAGTCTCTTCGGGATCCTGTGGCACCTTCGACCTGAGATCCGATGATCGCCTCGCAGATGAGGGCAATGGAGATACCAATGGTGCCGAAGAGAAGGGGCTTCTTGCGGCCAACGCGATCGAGGAGGAAGACGATGAAGAAGAGGTTGAATACGGGGCCGACGATGTTGTAGATGCTTGTAACGAGGAGGTTGCGGTCGCCGACAATACCGAGGTTCTCGTAGAGAATGGTGGAGTAGTAACCGATAACGTTAATACTGAAATCACGTTAGTATGACTAGATCACCGAACTGATAGAGAACGTACCCAGTCATCTGCGTAAACACCTGAACAAGCGTAGCATGCATAAGCCTCTTCCGCCACACCGGAACAGTAAACATGACCTTCCATCCGGGCGCCGTGATCGCCTTCTCAGCATCGATAGTCAACTTGATTTCATTGAACTCGCTTTGGATCCAGTCGTCGTTGCTACCATTGTAGTGCAACTTACGAAGCACCTTCAGTGCTTCGTCTGCGCGGTCGATCTCGACCAGGTAACGCGGTGACTCAGGGAAGAACAGCATACCGCATATGATGATCAAGCAGGGTAAGCATTGGAAAGCGAGGGGAAAGCGCCAGGAGAAGGAGTTTGTTGTGGGTACTTTTGAGGCGCCGTAACCGATCCATGTTGAGACGATGAAACCCACGCCGATCATTTGCTGCGTGAGACCGGTGATTAGACCTGGATCTTGTTAGTATAGAGAGTTTGGGTTTATTCGGAAGTACTGACCTCGCGTTTTGGGGTGAGCGCATTCGGTTTGGTAGATGGGTACGGACATGGACATTAGACCTACTGCCCATCCAGCCAAGATTCGTCCGACGAGTATCATAGCGAGGTCCTGGGCGGCGCATTGGAGTATCGCGCCAATCAGATTGATGAGAGCTCCGATCATGATTGTCTTCCTGCGACCGAACCTATCCATCGTGAACCCTCCCCTACCATGTGTCAGTACATGTTTGCATCTCTGAACAAGACATTTGCATACATCAGCGAACCGAAAAACGCTCCTCCCGAAAAGGTCGCATTGATGGCTCCTATAATCGGCGATGTCTTCTCTGTGTCGAAGAAGGCGAGGAAGTTGGGTGATTGGATGACAATGGTCATTACTCCAGAGTCATATCCGAAGAGGAAGCTGCCCGTGCCAGCAAAGACAGCAAGGGCAATGTTGAAAATGAGACCCATGGTTGCTACCTTGGCCGATCAGATCAGCGATGCTTGCACGGAAGGCTGGAACTTGTGGGTGACAGTCCTTTTCAACGCGCTGTCGCTGCAGGTATATATTGCCCCGAGCAACTGGGTGCCCGCGCCATCGACGCATGCTGGTCATGTTACATCTTCAGGCCAGCCTCGCGTAACAAGCATTCAACCGGAAGATCGCGCCTAGTTTCCACGGCGCCCTCCCGCATAAACTTTGAACACCTCTGCTGGCGGACAAGTATTTGCTGATCCTGCTGCCATAAAACCCGGGGAACAAGTGGAAGGATGTTGGGGTACAGTAGCGTGCGGGGAGGCATGTTGAATTTCCGCCAATGAATGAAGCCCCCACTAGCTCGCTTCGCTGATGTAGGACCGTTGCAGCGGCTCTGCTTTACGCTCATGGCCATTGAGACTTACTGAGAACGGGTGCGGGATGTATGACCCCTCATGATGGTTGGATCGCCAGCCTATCCCAGCTTCGCGACCTTCCACTCTCCGCCCAGAAGGCCCATACCTTTGAGCTCACCATCAGCGCTGACCTCCAAGACACCCTTCTGATCACCCTTGGTATCCACCAAAGTCGCTTTGTCACCTTCCTTCACACCATAAAGTCTAACCTCACCACCGGTAGCGAGCCAGTCATACCCAAAGCCGCCTTCGCCCTCTGCTTGCCCGAGCACGAGAACAGTGCCTTCCCTAACAAACAACGGTAATTGGAGGAAGCTATACTTCTCTTTGATCCATCGACCGCCCTGCATTTCTTTACCGTCCCAGAAGCTGAACCAACGACCTGGTGGCAGGTAGTAATCAACGCTACCGTCTTCCTCGAAGACCGGGGCAGCGAGGATCTGACTGCCAACAAAGAATTGGCGGTCCACATACCAGGATGTTGGGTCATCTGGAAACTCTAGAGCCGTCGCGCGGACGCTGGTAGGCCATCCATTAGCAACGCTCTCTTCTGCCTGCGCGAACAGATATGGCATGAGGCTGCGCTTGAGCTGCACCCAGTGTCGGAGGACCTCAGTGCAGTTTTCGGGCTCTTCGGATGAATCGTCGACTAACCATGGCACGCGATACGAGTTCGAGCCATGGAGTCGACTATGCGAGTTGAGCAGTCCAAACGCAACCCAGCGCTTATAGATCCAGGGTGGCGGTTTGCCCTCAAAGCCACCAATGTCGCTCGTCCAGAACGCGAAGGATGCAAGCCCAAGACTCAGGCCACCACGCACTGACTCGGAAAGCGCAGCGGGTGTTGACTCGCAGTCGCCGCCCCAGTGAAGTGGAAAGCGTTGCGATCCTGCGCAAGCTGTGCGCGCGAACAGTATGGCTTCGTGCTCGCCCTCCCGCTTTTGCACTGCCTCGTAGACAAGTTTGTTGTAGATGAAGGCGTAGTAGTTGTGCATGCGGTTTGGATCCACGCTCTTGTCGTGCCATTGGACGTTCTTCGTCGGTATGCGCTCACCAAAGTCCGTCTTGATGGAGCTGACACCCACGTCGAAGAGCTTCTCCATGCACTCGCGGAACCAGTCGCAAGCTTCGGGGTTTGTAAAGTCTACAATACCCATGCCAGTTTGCCAAAGGTCCCACTGCCATACATCCCCGTTCGTTTTCTTGAGTAAGTAACCTCTATCGGCCGCATACTTGAACACAGGACTTGCTTGGCCGATGTAAGGATTAGTCCAGACACTGACTTTGTTGATGAGTCCATCATCTTTCATGCGCTTGATCTGACCAGCAGGGTCGGAGAAGCTCTCTGGATCCCAGATAAAGTCGCACCAGTGGAAAGCGCGCAGCCAAAAGCAGTCGAAATGGAATACTTCGACTGGTATCTTGGAATCTGACATCTTTTCAACGAAGTGGCGGACGGTCTGCTCATCGTAGGAAGTCGTAAATGATGTGCTGAGCCAGAGGCCGTATGACCACGCCGGAACCCTATTCGACTTGCCAGTAAGAATGGAGTACTTGGTCAGTACCTCTTTGGGACTTGGTCCATAGATGAGATACCTTGGGAGGTTAGCAAGGAGATCAATCGAGCTACTCGCGATGCTCACCATTTCAAGCGTTGCCCTTCAACTGTAGTCTGCAATCTTGAGCATCTTTCGCTACCAATCTCCATATCAATCTTATCGGGTGTGTCGATAAAGACACCGTAGCCCCTTGAGCTGAGCCAGAACGATACGTTCTTGTAAGCTTGCTCGCTAGACGTACCTCCGTCTTCGTTCCAAACTTCAACATTTTGACCAATCTTGTTCCATGCACCAAAACGTTCACCTAGTCCGTGAATAGTCTCGCCGACACTAAGCTCGGTCTGAGTGAACATGTAATGTTTATGTGCAGCCAGATCCTCCACACTCTTGGGCGTGCTAAGGGCGGGTGAGTACGCTAGTCCGACGCTCCGGTGGAGAAGAGAAGTCAATGTTTTCGATCCGTCAGTGGCATGGAATTTGATGTCGAAGGTATGCTCATCAGAGCTAATGGTCGCGCTTAGTCCCCCTGAAGTGACAGTAGTCCCTTTCTTTTGCTTCAGGATGTCGCCTTTGCACTCCGGCTTGCCTGCCGGGTATAAGTCAAAGTCTGGTCCCATTCGCCTTGCACCAGCGAAGTGCGTCGCTTCGAGAGAGATGACGCCGTCGAACTGGGCTTCGATCTCGACGGAGATGGTGCTCAGATTCAAGGTATCGCCTCTAGTGAAGATCTTCCTGCTTGGACATAACAAAGTGACCGCCTTGTTGTCTTCCCGAGGCGTGACAGCATAGACTTCTTCGGCATGCTGAACTGTGAACTGGTCATTGACCAGCCACATACCTGTACGATCATTAGCGGCAACATTTCACAGGCTGCGAGGCTCATACCATCACGAAACTTCATGTTTGCGTCGTCTTCGAATGTAGGTGCTCACGACAAAGTATAGGACAGTCCGACGATGATGTCGTGATTGACGTCTGATGTTCTTCTCTCGACATTCCATACTACCAAGAACCATATTGGCGTTCGGATATGCGGTCCGTCCCGTTGGCGATGCTTGGAGCATACGGTTCTGTATGGACGGACACTTCGGTGTCAGATTGCCCGACGCTCCTTGCGCTGCGGGGTACCGCTCGAGACGCTGC